TTGTAGTTTATAAACCCTAATATTTTACTTTGCTAGTAAAATGCTTGTAAAATCCCTTCGGACGTGCGAATTTGTGCTACATAATAGACAGGTAATATACTCGTATCTCATGATTGAAACTGTAGGGCAAAAAACTCTTGTAAAATAAAAGCTGATGTTATACAGTGTGGGAGAAAAGTCTTTTAAAGGCAACCATTTTTTACTAAATTGTCCGTTTTGAGTTCGGGTTTGCGGCAATGTGTTCTACCATAGATTAGACATACTCCCCAAGGGAGTATGTCTAATCTATGGTTCTACTAACTAAGACCTTTTTAACTAGATACCAAACTCGACCTATGCTGCCATTTAAGAATTTTGTCTGACTCCTCGTGGGCCGTCCCCCTTAAGGGATAAAAGGGTAGACATTTATAGCTATTATTGATATACCAAGCCTCATTACTTGATCTATATTGGTAAAAAATATATTAAACCGTTCCGGGACTTTTCTACCACACTGTATAGAACTTTTAGTTATGTTATTTTTTTAATGTGCAAAACCTAATTTACCTTATCTCAATAAAAAATTGGGCCAATCGGTAGCAAAAAATATATCTAAGGGAGTAAGCTTTAAACATCTATGAATTTACAAGTTAAGCTTTGCTATCGAAAGCTATTATGGATAGATATAGAGCAAAACTATGAAAACGAATTAGGCTAAGAGAGCTACGATTAGTAACTGTTTGTTTACTTAAATTGAAGATATTCAAATCGGCCCACCTGATTTTCTCCCAATTCACATGCTAATTTCAAAATCTTTAAATTCCGAATCCTTGGACATCAACACGATGTGTTAAAGCTCTCAAGCGAAGTATATCAGATGGAATTCTCGTCATCTTGTCCACCAATCGGGCTAGAATATTAATTAATGACCACGTTTATCAACAGTTTTGAATTTCATTAATAATAGAGTCTTAAACATCTAAAGTTATTTACTATGTGACACTAATACTGCAGCGATTATATTTTTTTAACCTTTGGTTCTATATAAATTACCATGGTTAAGACATCCCATTTCGAGTTCCAAATTTTAATCAAGTAAAGGTGGTTTAGGGCTGCTACTACTACCACTGGTAATTTACCAGTTTTAGTGTTTTTTGCAATTGAGGAACCACAGTGCACGATTATTAATTCATATTTTCTCTTATTCATAAACTTTTTATTCACACAGAAAAATGAAAAGATAACTTTGTGAATACCAGATTTTAAAACGATGAACTTACGGTACTATAAGTATTGGAAGATTACCACAATAGTAATTTAAAATAGATAAAATTACCTTTTAAACAATAGCATTTGAATCAAATAAAAAAAACCTTATCACGATCACTTTAAACGTACGACCTAAGGTTTCCAAATTTAAATTCTACTGATGTAAAACTCACAAAGTTGTCATATAGCCTAAACTGACCTAAAATATAGGCTAACTTGTGTATCATAGATTCCAAAACTTATAAATTGGTGGTTTACCTTTGATTAATTATCCTCTCTTGTATATTTATCATGCTTATAAAAAGAAAGATAATTTTAATCTTAGTTTTGTTCGCTTCAGGTAGAGAGAGCAATTTTGTCTACTGTTTGTTTCTTGTTATTTACCACATTTTAAAAGTATGTTAAGAAAATATAACTATATAATCATAAACAATAGCTATTGTGTATACATTCTACCAAAAAGCTAAGCAAAAGCTCATAAATTTGTTTCAAAATAAAATTAAAACCCATTTTATCGACACTAGCGTTCAACGTCAACGACATGAAAAACACAAACAAATTGGAAAAAAAACATTTTATCATAGGACCAGAAGTTTAATTCCATCAATGGTTTTACTAATTAGAATTGAAAATTTCGCAATCGTAATTTACCATGAAACAAAATATTTTACGCATTTTCAACAATGAAATTACAAAAAAACCAAAACATTTTCAAGATTATTTCGAACACGAAATAAGTCTCCAAAGTTAAATCCTCATAGAACCACTATCGTACATCTCTATGCCCATTCGTACAAAGGCTGAGGGGTCGGATAGTACAGGTTCGGGGGTAATCAGAAAACAGTAAAAGAAACCACCCAGCACAGGGGAGGGGCCCTTTATGCACTTCTATATAAACACACATTGCTCTAAACAATGCATGTGTTTTATTGATTTATAGGATTGGGGTTGCAATTGATTTGTGCGTTTTCAATGTTGGGGCGCGTGAGAAGTGATAGAGAACTGTTGACTTTATAAACGTATTTATATGTAAATCATCAGTTTATGCCTTTTATGTTGGGATTTTGTTTGGATATTGTTTATAGTTGAAAAACCTTTGTTTAACATTAAGCATACGTTTTGCGTTTGTATTACTGTAAACACTAGTTATAGGCGCGTTATTGAATTATTAAAGTTCAAAATAATTTTTCATTTTTATGCACAGTGAGCTGTTGTACAGTTTCAGATTCGTATTTAACTATAGCTAGCTGTTACGGTTATAGTAGTATGGTTTCTGTACTGTTACTCATGGGCATCTTCCCGTTTGACTTCATAAGTATTAATATAACTATTGATTGGTTAAGTTAAGCTGAAATAAACGAAACAGAATACTGTAATACAAACAAATAGGTACATCTGGGCTTTTTAACATGAGGTATATGGAAAGTTCCCTTTATAAGGGAATCGCGACCTGAAAGGGTCAATTTATGAAATAATGGATAGTTTTGCGCAAGGTCATGACGAACATTTTAAGTATAATATGGTTTATGGGAGTGTGACTTGTAGTATTCTCAAAAGTGTATGGGTACTTTGGGCTTTATAAATAGGGATAAAAGAAGATTACCGGTACTATAATTAGGAACATTGAAAATTATTTCCTTAAAGTATTTTAGACCTGTCAACTAAATTAAACTTTAAACAATGAGAAAATAAACGTACCTAAGAGGTGTCCAAATATTTTCCAATGTATTCGATAGTATTTCAGCCCCAACGTAAAATGAATGCAATGCATAACTACTAATTTTGCTTCGGCTTGACATTAAATTGTGAAATGTAGGAATATCTTAAATCCTATTCCTTAACTCCCAATTTAAGATCGAAACGCGATATTATTTTTTAGTTTTTACCGTAGTCTAAAATAACTTTTTTCTTACACGATAATTGTCCAAGCAAATTCAAACCACGCCTCAATTCTTGTGATATCTTTATTTCAAAGGCTCAATTATCCTAATCTACCAAACCACAGCCACCAACGGCAAGTTTACTTAACCTCGGCTATCATATTAATTTATTTACGAGCAAATTGAGGCAGGAACCGCAATTCCTTATGATTAACGATATTATCTGCATTTTGCATAAATCAGTTCGACGCATGCGCGTCCCTCTATAATTATGATTGAGCGACGCCGGTGTGCAAGCGCATTTAATTGTCCGCCATCTTTGTCGATCACCTGTTTTGGCGGGTTTATGGTCAAAGTTACGTAAATGGCGGTAAACGTCAGGCAAGTTGTAAACTGTTTATGACGGCGTGTCATAGACTTGCGGGTTGATAATTGGTGGCGGTCGTGTGAGTAGGTTTAGTACTCAGTTGAATTACAATATTCAAATTATATTTTTCTGAAACAATTAGGCTTGATGACTAAATAAATTGTCTTATGGAAAATTCTATTGTAATTTTGAGAAAGATGTGAGGCCTGAATATATGATGGAAATACTTTTGTTTTAAAATATCGTGCGGCTTCGAGGTGGGAAATCTCCGAAAGATAGAGCTCGCTCCTCTTAAGATACTCATTTGTTTACCCAAAAGGAAATTCAACAACAGTCGGTTTCTAACGCCAGGGTAACAACACTATCGCAGATGTAAACGCTATTGGTGATTATTGGGGTTTGAACCAGGGTGTTCGCGACCGGAGTGCCGCACTTTTATCCTTCGATCAGCTGCACTCCGATTTTACGCAATACGTATGAAACAATTTTAATTTGTACAATTCTGTTAAAACATTTTATTGTCAAATGTGAAGGTGTAGAAAAATTCCAAAACTAAACATGACATTAACGTAGCTTGGTTCAAATTAGCAGCGTTTTATGAAATGCGGTATTATTTTGCAAGTCTCGTGTTTAAGTCCAGCTGCTGTTGTAAATAATACAGATATTACATCAAAATGGCGGCGAGGCAGGTGAAACTGCATGGCGGTGGAAGTTGCCATTATAACGCTTAGTAAAAATGATTATCCTGTCAGATATTACTACACGATGCAATTTAATGCACTATATTTATTCGAAATGCGGGTGGAATTTAGTAATAAAATAATGCAGTGAATTTCCGTATGTTATCCATCAGTTTCAACTGTATTATTTTTCGTGTTAAAAAAGTAAATTGTATTGCACCCCTTTGTCCAAAAAATATAGCATATAAATCATACAGTAATTATATTTTAAAAATATACGAATCAATGTACAGTATTTATGCCACTCGTTGTCGTTTTAAATAAAGACAGGATTAGCGGAGTCACGATAAATATGCTAAGAGTGCTCTACTTGGGGAATGCTTTGTGCAATTTTTTCAAATACATTTTCTTATGGTTTTGTTAGCTTTTATGGCAGATTTACATGGAAGAATATAAATCGTTTGTTAAGAAAAATATGAGCGTTGACAATACATGAAATGAAACTCGCTTGTAAATAAAGGCCTTTTTATTTATTTATTATTTACATGTATATAGTAAATGGGAAGGGAAAGTTACGGAGTCCCCTCAAATTTATCCGAATATGTCGGGCATAGAATCCGTCTCGTAAATTTATACAACGACAAAGTGATTCTGTCCGGGCGGAAGTAAAGTGTAAACAATCCACATTGTATGACACTACTTATACAATGATGAGTAAAAATTGTAAAAATTCAACAATAAAATAAATTAAATATAGCTATCCAAATAATTGTCTTAAATTTGTCTTGCAGAAACGATTAATTAACACCTTTTGTGGTTTTGCAGCAATGTGGACCCCACGCCAAGGACATGGATTACTCCTGGGGAAGACAGTCCATGGCCAAACAAGGATACGAGGTAAGGACTAGGACATCCTGCGTTCAACAATAATACAATACTATTGTTTCTATGAACAAGTAGCCAATAGCACATACTGATAAAGAACGTAACAAACAACCAATCCAAAGTTAAAACATTGGGTGGTTTTCTAAGTTTAAATATTTTTAAAGGATTTCAACTTATTGTCAGGCCTGTGTTTTCACTAAAACATATGTTCTTGAAGGTCAAGGATGGTAATACTATTTTATGACATCCAATGTATACCAGTATTTACTAGCAGTCTAAATAAAAAAGTGTGTATTCTAAATAACTGGTTTTCAATCTATGATAACTATGCGGGTGTTTAAAATAAATATCTGGAAATCGAGGTTAACGTAAATGTGATCGTTGATGTAAATAATAAAAACGTTTAACAACTGAATCAAGGTAAATTTAGTCGTGTCCTCGAATTTGGAAAAAGTCCAGTTAGAAATTAAGTTATTCTATTCAAACGATGTTTAGCATTGGACAAAACCTAATAATAAAAAATTTAATTAAATTCCTTAAACCCAACGAAAAGTAATGGTACCATTACACGTTATACTGGCATTATTACCCACTAACTTACATAGTAGGGTATTATAAACCCATACTTTTACCAATTTTACATCCGCAAATTATCTTGTTCAGCGGTTTTTGAGTTTATAAAATTAATAAACCGATGTCCACAACCGGACCCAGCTTGACCTTGGACAGCTGATTATCATCAAACTCAAAATTGGACGAGATTGTTTATTCAAATTGTATAATTGTATAATTATTCCATGGCAGACTTTCACGTGCTTTGCATATCATTAGCCATATCTCGCTAGTCGCTCCTCGTTCTGATAACTCTGGTTTATTTTGCCTGCTTTTCGTAACTTTCAGGAGATTAGCTAGGACTACTTTTAAGTGATGTGTTCAATTTGGATTCGAATCTGTGTATGTTGTCCCAGTGAGCTTTTAAAATCACCCTACTATTGATAGTATCGGATTTTAGTTACTGCAATTACCGAAATCCTTACTGGTTGGTTTTTAGTCTATAAATATAAAACGGTCATTGATAAAACATTTTGTAAATATTTAACACTTTTACTTCTTCAACCTTTTACTAACAAACTAAAAATAAAATTGTCGTACAAAATATGAATTTTTGATCCGTAAAAACTAAAAACAAGAATAACAAAGTAGGAATAATTTGGAAATTAAAACTTACTTAGGGATGACATACGATATAGTTAGAGTGAAATGTAGTTAGTTATTATTGGTCAAAAATGTTCTGTAAATGTCAAATAAAGTTGTTCTCCTAATAATGGAGTTTTAGAAAAATAAGTGAAAATATACAATTTGTGTACAGCAATAAACAGTAATGTGCTGATTGCATAGATACCTACTCCTCCCCTCTAAGAATCATTCGTAAATCAAAGGCAAAATGCGACATTGCAAAAACGTATCAAGTTATACAGTATACTGTTACAGCTGATATTCAGAACCTATAAATGTGGACAGATGATAACAGATAATCTACAATAACCGACAATCTATGCAGCACCACTATCACATGCTACAGACTTGTCTACAAGCTAGCATTGACAATGACTTGTACTACAAGACACTGCATATCTGCTCGTAGTTGCCTCATGTTCTACCCTCATACAGAAATGCCACTGCATTGTAGCGATCAGCGATCCCTTTTGAATAATAAGTATTGCCACTCTCTTTCTCTTGCCTATACATTTAGATCATAGTTTCCTAGTTAAAGTTTTTTTGCAAATTTAGTAATACTTTCGATTAATCCTCGCTTTTTATTTCGCGATCGATTTAATTCTAGTGGAGATGCCTAATTGCGATTCTAGTGGTGATGGTTGGAATTTTCTGGGTGTGAGTGGCCAAGGTGCTCGCCTTTAAATCAGCAGGATAGTTTCTGGGTCGTTTTAGGTCTGGACCCAAAAGCCATTTGTCATTGATCAATGAATTAATGATGATCTAACAAATAGGTTGACGTTTAAACGTTTAATGGTAATAGGACCAGGTTTTGGACCGTTCCCTTTCAAAAACGTAAAAAATGCCATTGGTCTAGATAACAAAAAATGTTGTATTTATGTTTATACAATAAGTATAAACCATATATTTTGGTATTGGAGTACGGTATTCATTTACAACGGTCATGTACCTAATTGTAAATTACACAACTGTACAACCAATTTTTAAAGAATATTTTTCTGAATAGTTTATTTTCTGTCTCAATTTCACTAAATGTTAATTCAATAACTAAACAATCGTAGACTGTCAAATGAATTACAAATCTCAACCGGGATGAAATGGTGTACCATAGCGGAATGTCCCATTATTTTGATGTCCCGTCGTTTTTATTTTTGGTTAATCTATTCTCTGTTCTGTTTTAGTATGTAGTGCTATTTGTAACTATTTGGTAGTAGGAATCAGTTTATTTTATGAAGAATTGTACGGTGTGATTCATGGACCCTTTTACATTGTTTTAGATATATAAAAATCATTATGCCAACCACAAAACATACGGTCTTTGCATTGTTCTTTGTGTGTATGTGAAAACACTGTATTGTTATTTTATTTCAATAAAACAATTTTTTCTTCTTTTCTTCTTCTTCTTTTTCTTCTTCAAATGAATTACAAGCAACCGTTCGAGTAAGTAAACAGGCAAAATTAGTTACAACAAAGCACACCAAACTATTCAACCACTACGATATTTCAGCCCAGTTACATGACAACCCGAAAATCAGAGACCATAACCCAGACAAGGCGGTTCAACTACGACTGCGGTCTGTCTGTGGTCTGTTTGATGACCTTGCAACGTCCTTGGGTCCGAACTGGTTCCTACCACCTGATAACTGGTGCACAGATTGCATCATTATACATCATAATGGTCGATTTATCGCTATGATTTATTTTACAACACTTTGTATAAGACAGGAAATGAGGTGGGATGGTTGTAAAGGTAATGTAGGAAGTATTGAAGAGGTTGTAGCATTTGTGACAAATAAGTGTTTTTTATGGAATAAGTATTCTGCGGAAGGTTTTTTGGAAGCTGAGTGGATTTAATGTTTTCCTACTAATCATAGAATAATCTCATTGATCGTTAGTAAAGGCAGTAGTTCTAAATAGACCATCTTCAAGGTTATGATTTAAACCAATAATCAACTAGTTTGTCAGCTAATTAAGTCAGTAACTAAATTACACAAGGGATAACCAATGCCACACGACTTGTGAGCCACTATTTATTTTGTCTTGCCATTTTTTCTCAACTGGTACAAATCATAAAATAGATTGGCAGATACATCTCTCTTTTACTTTTACCTCAGAATATGGTTTTTACATTGCCAATTACTACTGAGGCAAGTAAGTATGGAGTGAAAATAATACAACAATGAAAACAGCTGATTCAATTTGTGACATTGATTTGATGGTAAATTAAAACACTTTAGTTAACCATCTAAATTAAAACGTTGGAAGGTCGGCCGCTTAGAAAACGACCTCCTCCAGCATTGGTATAGCATTAGCGCGCAGGTCGTTTTCTAAGCGGCCGAACATAGTAAACATTTAAAATGTATTTTAAACATTACCTAGGATTAATATTTTACTGAAATAGCCTTACTGAATTAGTGCATGGACAAGGATTAATATGTATATCGAGCAATAGGTGTACTGGTTATTTGGGTATTTGATTGACTCAGCTGTAGCTCAAACCACTTTTCCTTTCAACCTACAACTAATGTCGATAATGCTGACACAAAACCAAACATACTTACTTTTATTGATAAATAAGTTGATATACAAATACTACAAAATGTACACAAAATATTTTAAACTAAAAATGTATATATATAAAAGATGACTTTGGTGAAATTTAAACCTTATGTAAAGTCAATTAGGGTTGTATTGAAAGTAACCACTTTAGTGTCGGAAACAGGATCTGTGGCTGGTAAGATAAAATTTTCTAAAAAATAAAAATAACACCATGCATTCAAAAAAATTAACATTCAACCAAAGACATGCTTTTACAAACCTCAGTAGCTAAAGACATTTACTCTTGTTGCACCATAACCATTAACCTGCTGACTTCAGAGTCGTAATTTCTGGTAGAATTACTGACTAATAACGGGTAACAGAACTAGTCAGCTACTTGACAAGTCGACCGGCGTAGTCGATTGGAATTCTGCGTGTTGGTAATAACTTAATCTTGCACACGTTCTAAAAACCACACTAGCTTGACCCTTCTTGTGTGTAGACCTCGACCAAACATGATTCCTATGTGTGCTCAGTGGAAAGGTGGAAAGAAACACACAAGCACGTTAAATCAATAGATAGTTTGTTGTGTACGAGGGTTAATTACCTAAACTATGGGTTTAACAAATAATAGTTGTATCAAATTACAGTTACCTATTTCCTCAGTTCACGATCGTAGTTTCCCATAAGTACCAATTCTTGTAGCCTTTAACAAATGACATATATTAAAGGTCTTAGCAAGTAAAAATATATAGATTTGTTTATTAAAACAATTAAAAATTATTTTAAAACCTGTAAGTTGAAAAATGATGACATCATTAGAAATGTTATAAAAGTAAGTTACATCGAAACATAAAAATCTAAAATCTTAAATATTTTATAATTTTCGAGGAGGGTTAGAACTGTAGAACTATAATATACAGAACTTACTAAATAGTTTGTACGATCAATGTGAACGCTGATCCTAGCACCGCTATTGGTTAGAATTATGGATTCCTGAACTTCATGCGAGAGTTCAAATTCCGCTAATTACAAGTTATGTTTATTAGCTATGTTTATACCTTGAATTTGTGGTTTGTAGCTCGAATTAACCTGATGAAGGTCTACTTATCTCTAAAAATGAAAAAGAGTGGTATTTCATCAACTGTTTTGAAAACAACCCTCCCAAAAGCTATATAAATATATTTTACTATGTACTCGAGAAAAATTCAAAATTTAAATATTTTGTTTAATAACGGTACTTCTAATACTTTTTGGTGAAATGACGACCATACAAAGTAAGTGTTTTAAGCTAAGTATGACCGGAGATGAGTGTAGGATGAGTCGCGCGATCTTGTAGTCTTGGTCTAAGGCCGACATAATCCTTAGACAAGGCTGTTAATCAATAGCCCATACAGCTAATGGCAACTAAGGGACCTACAGTTTATAGTGGAATCCGAACCACATTTTTCCTTGGTATATACGAATTGGTCTAATTATCAGGATAGTACTGCGGATAGTCGTAGTACTCACTCGTGCTAGTTAATCCAAACTAGAGATTATAGCATACACAGTGCATGCCTATAAATATCCACAATTTGTGACCTAGTAGCTGGATTACAGGACGACGCCACCCGTCCCAGTCAATAGTAATTAATAAACTTTGCTATATCAAGTTTAATCAGTCTCATAATTCTATTAACAGTTTTACCAATCCACTTTAAGTATTAAACAAGACCTTGATAGTTTATGACATAATTTGGCTATTTTAGTGTAACATTAAACATGGATAAACACTACTCTATTCATCCATTAGGGTTTTTAAGGTTAATAGATCACTTTATTAGGCAGTAACGTTTATCAGTTCGATCTATTGGACTTGTTATCCAGGTAGATATATCAATGCAGTATGGCTCTGTGAGATTTATAGAGCTGGCTTTTAACAACTTTTGCCACCTTGACCTGATTGAGACATTTACTGGCTACCTGGCATTTTGTGCGCGAATTCAATACGTATAAATTTACAGGTATAGAGAAAATGTAATACATAATTTTTTCTTAAAATCGTGTTTTATCGTAAACTAGCTGTTACCCACAGGCTTCACCCCGTTTGGCTTTATTAGTATTAATACAACTATTGATTGGTTAAGTTAAGCAGAAACAAACCAGAATACAGTAAAACAAACAAATAATAACACAGCTGATTTTAATAAGGTAATAAATTAAAAGAATAACAAACAAATAAGTACAGCTGAGGTATTTTTAACATTAGGTATATGGAAAGTTCCCTTTAGAAAGGAATGGCGACCTTAAAGGGCTATTTATGAAATAATGGATAATTTAGCGCAAGGTTTCTCGTCATGATGAACATTATAAGTATATAGTTTATGGGGGTGTGACTTGTAGTTTCCTCAAAAGTTCATGGGTAATTTGGGATTTATATAATATGGATAATGTCAGTGTGTTCTGCTTGGAAATTTGGAAGGTTATATAGTAGTCATTCAGTAGTACAAATCCATTGAATGAGACGAGTGTATTTACTTCTTAAATATTTGAAAACATAGAGTATGGAAGTAAATTGAATGTCAACTGACATTCCCTGAATGAACTACTTTAAAAAACTCAGTCAAAGCAACATTCTCTAAATTAAATAGTAATCAAACATCACCAAAATTTAACCCTAGAGAATATTAACGCTAAATGGTATTAGAAGTATGAAAAGTGTTAAAGCTAATGGTATTTTAATGGAGTTTTACGCATGCATTTATAGTGTTTAAATAAAATGCAGATTGAATACTCGGGGAGGAGGTGTTGTAGTATGTAAAAAACAAATTTAATCACTAAATTTTATGATAAACGAAATAATTAAACTTTTGTGCTGAATACTGATAATTCAAGTAAGACAAAACGTGTAACATTTAACATCCCCTTTAAACAGTAGGATGTGTTGTACTTTAATTTTACTCATAAATCCATACTAAATAACTATTGTTGTAGTTAAGTTAAAATCAAATATAACCACAAATATTTTGATAACTCAGATTAATTTTAATTTTCCCTTTAATTTTAAATCACACTCAAGACAGGACCACACCAAAGAATCATAACTTTAGAGAGTGTAACATAGTTTTGGAAGATTTATATTTGTTTGCTCCCTGTTTGTCATAGCATCCTACACATTCTACTGACCTAGACCGAGATTTTACTCATCTCCTTATATATTCTGTCTAGAACATTATGTGGACATAGTAGGAGTAGGTTTAGGAGAGTTTACAAGTGATCAAATGTTAAAGTATATAAAAAATTATGTAATAGCAGTGACATTTTTCAACTTATAAAGTGCGTATTTTTGTTGAATTTATTTAGTTTCTATTTTCTATAATTTAGTTTCTAATTCTGAGTATTGTATTTATTTTTTTAATAATCATAATAATATAATATCCTTACGATCATTCCTGTATTTAAAATTGTACGTATTGTACTCCTTTATTAAGTCATGAATACACATTATAAGCAACGTGATTGGCAATACGACTTTTCAATTTATTCACTTTTGTTTTATAAGCTGTCTGTACTTAGTCAAATCTGTCAAATCAATTGTGTTCCAAGGTTGTTGCTACAGTATTAGCTATCCGGATATATTGCAGTACGTTTTCAATACTATTTGATACATTTACACTCGTACCAGAAAACCTTTATTAGACAGTAATAATGTATGAACAGATGTTGCAATGGTGGTCGATTTCGACTGGTCACCCTACACCAATTATCATCAAGCTATGTCGGAAATTGGGAGAATACTGTAAATTGACATACCGCATTATAAGTGTAAGACTATCTAAAACTAAAAATAATTTACCAACGACATTTTTAAAGTAGCCGTATCAGTTCACTTCTTAGAATTGAAAGGTTATACATAACAGCATTGTTTACTTTCATAACAGCATAGTTTTACAATGGTTTTACTCAAAACAACACGGGTGACGGACCAATGAGGTTCAAGGATTGAGGGAGAAGTAAAATTTAATGATTCGAACTTCAACTAATCACCTGTTTAAGCCAATTTAATTGTTGTGTGGTGCAATTAGTGTTTGTTGTAATGTTTCGTTGCATCACTGTCAGTGGCAATTATAATTATAAACCAAAACATAACCTTTCTTAGAAGTTATGAGTAGTGATGTTTAGTAATTAAAACCCGTCGTAAGTAAAGTAGTGTACGCAACTCGCGTAAACAGTGTTACCGACACTCGTAGAAGTTTTTAAGGCACTCGCCAAGGCTCGTACCTTAAATTTTCTACCTGTTTCGTTAACACTATCTTTACGCAATCGTTGCGTAAACTACTATAAGACTATTTTATTGTATTATAACATAACACCAACCTGTAAAGTATTATTTTGAAGTTTTTGCCATTACCTATTGCAACTACGTCCACAACAATGTATTTACTAAGAGTTACTGAATGATAGATCATTTACAAATGTTTATAACAATCTACTTTTGTTTCTTTGCAGGCGAAGATGTCGACGGACCAACAAACGAACCATGGTAAGGGTAAAGGTAGGCTTAGACTACTTAGTATGATACAATGCATGAACACTGAGAATCCTTCTGAATATTAGTAACTATTAAAGATTAGCTTTTAACTACTATTTTTTTTTTTTTTTTTTTACTACTATAGGGAATAAGTAAGTGTTAATAATAAGTTACTTGCCATATTGTTTTCTGTTAAACAGGTTTAGTCCGTATGAAAATAGAGTGAAGTTGAATAATGTACCGTACTTGGTTAGGTTACAATATGTTGCAATATTACAATATATTGAACAGTGTATCGGACAGTGTATCGGAAGTTGAATAATATATCGAAAAAAATATAAAACTAAGTAAGGTTGACTTCAACCTCAATCATTCTCCGTACACACATTTTTGTATCATTTACCAAGGTAATTGTTCAGTGACTATATTCTGTATTCAATTAATACAAATATGTTCGTAAAATAAAAAAATAAAATAATTACAGAGTACAATCTCGATCTGTAAATATGAATTAATATTACACTTTGTGTTGTATTTTCATTTTTTATTTTATTTTTTTTGAAGACTGAATCACATTCTTTTACAACAGGTGATTTCATGATTTCACATTTTTGTCTGTCATTGTCTAATGCCTTGACACTCGCCTTCGTGTGTCGACTGATGACGTAACCGAGTGAAAATTGTCACTCAAAAGTAGTTTTTCCAGTTTGAGCGCGCAGACTGTAGCGATGGACTGGGGACTAATCTACAAATTGTGCGTTCAACTCCATTACATTTAGTAAAAACACCAAAATCACCGATACAGTAACAATTATTTCAACAAGATGAAAATTGATTTACAAATTGTTGTACGTTATTGTTGAAAAGCGTAGTGTATCCCTTTTTGTAAATTTGATTGTTATACCGCTTCGAATGTGCTCTTTCATAATTATGATAAATCATAATTATGATAGTAATAAATTATTCAATTAATCATTGTAATTTTGAGTTGTGTTTCGAAATAACTATACTACAAACTACACACAGGAATCATTAGTAAAAAATCTATTTAAAAATCTACCAACTTTCAAGCGTGCATGGGCATGAAATCCATTTGAAACGAATTTTGAATAGTAACGCACAGATTGAGACTCCAAACAAAAAAATTGTTGTTTACAGTTGTATGTAATTAGAGTTTAGCATCCGATCACTATATCCGAATACTATATAGTGGAACCTTGATAAGAAGACCCTCGATAACAAGTAGCCCTAGATAACACGTGTAATTTTCTAATCCCCTTATTATTTTACCCCTAATCACATGTTATTACAAACCTTGATAACAAGTCTTGTTTTACAATCCCCATGAGACTCTTGTTATCAAGGTTATACTGTAAGATGAAGCGACACAAAGATTTATCCCAATACAGTTTGAACAGTTTTTTGTATACTTCTTTGCTAGAGTGTAGACAGGTCCAACAGTGGCCAGCTACGTCCGGCCCCCGGCACTGCTGTGTAAATAAGCTAACATTAACATATTTTAAGATAATTAATCAGATAATAGCTCAGCTTCCGTATCTACACCTGACTGCTTCCGGGCTGCGATACTGATACTGCAACTAATTCAGTATAATGCTGTTATAATTTTACACTGCAACTACTGATTCTGTTATAATGTCATCTGTAACTATATTTGTTGTAGTTATCTGTTTTGATATCTATTCTGTATGTTACTGCTGCTATTGATGCTGATATTATGTTATACTAGCTGTTACCGACGGGCCTCCCCCTGTTTGACAAAACTATTGATTGTTTAAATTAAGCTGAAATAACAAAACAGAATACAGGAATAAAAACAAATAATCACACCTGATTTAAATAAGGTAATAAATTGAAACAATAACTAACAAATAAGTACAGCTGAGTTATTTTTTACATTAGGTATATGAAAAGTTCCCTTTAGAAAGGAATTACAACCTTAAAGGGCAATTTATGGAATAATGGATAGATTTGCGCAAGGTTTCTCGTCATGACGAACATTTTAAGTATATGGTTTATGGGGTTTATAGTTTTCTCAAAGGTTCATGGGTACTTTGGGCTTATATATAGACTTCTAGTTGATTGTTTGAATTATATTTGGGTAATGCCGTCACATCTTATTAAGGCGGAAATGACTGGAGTCAATGGGTATCAATTAAATGGTAAGGTGTTTAACTGGCCATGCTTAAGAGCCAGCTGATGTGAGTCTGTGACATATCTATTATCACATCCTCATAATCTCATCTATTCTTCAGTGTAACCTTGAAATACGCACTATAATGTGTCGGCATAGTACAAAACTGATTTTAATAATTTGTCTATGTTCTGTTAAGAATATTTTACAATTAACAAACTGTATATGTGCATTTAGTTTACTTACATGAACAGGTATTTTAAGCAGTGAAGCTCTTGTTGTATGTAGAAAGTAGTAACTATTTATCATACACCGGTCTTCCCACCTGTCAAATTTGACCGATCTTCACGCCAAGACGGCGACTGGTCGTGGCCGCTTATTCAATGAAGCTGTGTTGTAATTAATATTGATCGAGGAACGAAAATATTGGGACGCTGCCATTAGAAGTCTCATTAGAAGCCCCATTGGCGACCATTAGAATACCTGTTGAGCGGGAGCCCGAAAGGGACCATTTGTTATACTGTAGTCGCCCTCGTGACGCAGTCAGCTGTTTCTTGGTCAGTTAATCAGCTGTTTGGAAGTTGACGTAATTAACTTGTGGTCATGATTAGTTTGAAGATCAGCTGATGGTTAAGATTTCAGATAGGTAAACTGTAAGACATTATAAGCTAATTTATACTTTGATTTTTCTGATGAGATAAACGTCACTATATGTTAATTTCGATAAGTTTTAAGTTACCACCAGTGACGCAGCCAGGGGGGGGTCCTGGGGGTCCGGACCCCCCCCCCTTCTGGTCTTAAACATAATATTTTTTTGTTAAATTAAATGTAAAGTTATACAATCATACTGTATTGACGTTGGGGTTGGTTACTTTCAATGCCAAGAGAGCTAAAAAATACCGTTTTAGGGCCTATATTTTTAAATTTTTTCTCGGACCCCCCTTTTACCTGGGGGTATGGAATACCCCCCAGACCCACGGTCGGTCGACCCCCCCTATTTTGAAATCCTGGCTACGTCACTGTTACTACAGTACTAAAAGTCCGATATAATAGATTGACTATACGAATACCAGGCTCGAAATTACTTCTAACAATCGTTTTTCAGATTGCAATATTTGTTTATAGTAATATTATAAATCTAGGAATGTTTAAACATTTGCTAGACATGTTTAACACAAATGAACAACATTATCAACGCAATGTTTAATTTCCACACGAAAACGTTTACGTATCGAACGACGTTCCAAAATTATCCCGGCATACCTTCCTAAACACCATTCCGAAATAACACACTTTGCGTACCGAAATGAGCAGTTTGTCCTAAATTAGACCTTTTAGACCTTTTAAAATTATTTGCTACGATCGCAGCAACAGGATCGGCCATTCATCAAAGTAATAACACACTCGGACAACGCGCTGCCTGCCTGCCTATTACCTTCATATCAACAAGATCTCACCAATAATATTCACTGAAATATATCAGACCATCTCCAGCGCGTAAGTGGCTGATTTATAGCTTTATAAATTCAAATTGACCCAAGTCAACGTTAGTAATTTGAAGGCAGATCGCAGGGAAGCAGATTTCGGTAATTGTTATCAATCTAACACTGTGGTTCAATTAAGTTTGAGGATTGCGTTAAAAAATCCCCATCTTATAAGTGATTTTCCTTCATTGAATCTATGTTTATTGACAAACGTTTTTATGAATTCCCGGCACCATCACAGCTGACTCCCACGGTGTGAGCGGTTGACTAAGGTTGAATAACAACTTTATAAGCATGTAAAGTCGTCTGCATAAATATATAATTGAAATGTGAAGCAATTATAACAAAAAACTAACAACTTTTGACACAACAAGAGTAAAAATGGAAACCCCCAATTTTCAGGGTTCACAAGTCAACAAATGTACACCAATCGCTGGTAACTTTGATTTAAATGTTTTGTGACACATCTTCGTTAAAAATCGCTCTAATTAATTCTTTTTAAATTTTACTTACAACACTTTACTCCATTTGTGGCACTATTGCATATGTTACTATGAGGGAGTTCATACATAGTTAAACCTTACGTTGGCCTTTCCATTTAGTATGATATTTACTGCAATAGCTGTAAAAGACCCATTGCTAATTAATATTATCAATAACACTGCCTTATAAGAAATTAACTTTGCAAACCACCCTATTTACGTAAAGTCGATTACCATGAACAGTGACAATTGCATTGACATTAACATAGCCATTAACATAGCCATTTACAGTGCCATTTATACTGGCCACGCGTCCACATGAAGGATAGCCTCTTCGACCCCGCATGATCTAATGGCCAGTGCGGTCGGTAGCCATTATCTACCAATTACCTTGTACTCCTCTGACAGCACTATTTATAAACTCGGTATGATGTACTACTACCGCGATATAGTTGTCAATCACCTTTCAAGTCAGCAGCAGGCCCCACATTCTCACTTCAGACTACTGCACGAATTTCACACTTAAACGTTACCAAGTTCTTGCATCGGGGTTGGAACTAGTTATATAGTTGAAGTTTGTAAGGTGGTTCTGTGAGAATACAGTGTAGCAATTATTATGATCAGTGATATTATGAAATCAAAATGATAATTTTACAGCGTAGATTTTATTATCTATGACTTATTTAGTGGTTAGATATCCGGAGTAAAATCCACCCAACATTTTGATGGGATGCTAAGTCTAAAGTTGGGTTAATAGTCAGAGTGCTGTACTTATTTCCTAAGGATCTACGTTCATATCCTGCCAATCAACAATATGATGTAACTCTGTAATAATTTCGTTTTTTTGTGGCTCGGAGGATAAGCTGTTTTTTTCCTACGTCAATGACATTTTTT